CCGATAGTTCTTATTTTTTTGTCCGAATTCGTGAGAAATCTCGTCTCTCCTAAATAGGGAAAGTGTTGTGCAAATGGACGTTGGATATTAGGTGTAGATAAAAGGGTAAAATATTCTTGGGCGTTGTAGATTTTACCGTAACGATTTAAACGCGTATTATATAGATGCGAAATCGTTAACAATGTCGTGTAGTAAATTAGTAAGGGGTACTTTTACGATCCTCAATTTAAATGGTACTTCGAAACGAATAGTCGCGGCGTAAAATTTGCAATCGGGAACGGTCGTAAGATTTAACTACCAAGGAATCATTTTTTATGGTTTCCTTATTACAGAAGATAGTAATATTATATATATTATTTCCTTTTTATGGAGTATCAATTTTATTAATTTAAATTTGTAAATGAAATCTCGATAATAAAAGATGTTTAACTTATTAGAATAAGTAACTTTCCACAAAGACTCAAGCAAGTCTATTCTAAAGCAACTCAATTCAGAAGTAATCTAACTTAAAAACAAATCAAACATACTCTAATAAAACTCAACCTATCTCCATTTAACTCAACCAACACGCAAGTCATACTCACTTCTGACCAACAAAATCTAAACCCAAGTAATTCAACCGATAAGCAAGCCAATTAAACCTTATAGTAACACAGCCCAACCTAACTCAAGTTACTGAAAATTAAATTGAACAAGTGGTTGAGTTGGGTTGAGTTGCATTATAGTAGATTATTTTGTAGTGTAAAGTGAGTGGCTTTGACAATTTACCTCAACTATAAAGTAATCCACTGTAATGAAGCCAACTCAACCCAATCCTTTTGCTACAAGATTGGGTAATTATCTGCTACCAGATATCTGGCTTGGAATGTTAGTGCCGAATAGTGTGGAGTTGGAGCTCAATGTTGACCCATTAAAAATCCCCTTTCTTCGTCTTCTCCGAAACCGCCTGAACGGACTTTACTTCGGAGTGCCTTTTTTCTTTTTCACTTCTCTAACGGTCAATATGGAACATATGAAATATTAGTTAAAATAAAGGTTATTACCTTTATTATTCTGGTGATCCATGGTGTTATCTCCGATATTAAAGCCCTTGTCCAACCGTCATAATGTGTCCATCTTTTCTGTAAAGTGTTCATCATCCTTTCTCTGCATTCGCTCCTCGATTCTTTTCTTCTCGCATACAGTTCTGCTCTCTCCTGGTACCGTACCCTATGCAGACGTTATATCCATCGCCAGTCTTCTGTTTACGGTTGTTGTTGAGGTTGATGCAGCGTATAGGATTACAGACATTACTGTTGGTGAGAAGGACATACTTTTCTTTGACCTTGGTCCTCCCAGATTTGCAATTAGCCTTTTAATTAGGTTACACAAAAAATTTACTTTAGTTTTTACTTCCTCTACGTGTCCCGTCATGGTCATGACTTTGTTAATAAACACTCCTAGATACATACTTTTTCTATGAATTTCCTTTTCCCTTGCAACAATAATAATTTCGTTTTTGGGCAGCGATATTCAATCCTATATCTTTCATATTGATGACCACTCAATAGACGGTGTAGGTCGCCTCCTCTTCCAACTGTTCTGCATCTCTGCCGTTCAAACTCCGCTCAACCCAACCCAAACGAACCCAATCCAACCCAACCCAACCTTGTACTTCAACCTAATGTAAAGATGGTTTATTAATTTTTATAAATAAAGCAGATATAATTTTTTAAATTCTGTACATTCAGGAATGTCTTGTAAAATAACATATTTTTAAGTTTTGTTCAAAAAATTCTTTCGTCCTGATTTTATCTTTTATTAGGTTTTACTAAAAATCTTTTTTCTCCTGAATTTTATAGATCAATTCATAAACTATGATATGATCTCAAAGCAGATACTGTAAGGTTTAAATTGACATAAAAATCATTTGTTAATTCTTATAACTAAGGTAGATATGATTTATTAAAGTTACTGTTATTTTTTAAAGTGTGTTGTAAAAACCACATTTTTTATGGAGTTAAAAAACATTTTTTTTCCTTACATATAAGAATCAACTAATAAACAGCTATGTGGACTTAAAGAAGAGACTTTAAGCTTTAATTTATCATACAGATCGTTTATTAATTTCTATAAATAAAGTAGATATGAGTTTTTAAATTTTGTACTTTTATAAATGTTTTGTAAAAATAACACATTTCTAAGTTTTGTTAAAAAATTCTTTCGTCCTGAATTTTATGGATCAACTCATAAACCATTATATGGTCTAAAAGCAGATACTTTAAAACTTTAATTTGATATAAAAATCGTTTGTTAACTCTTGTAAATAAGGTAGATATGATTTATTAAAGTTATGGTTATTTTTTAAAATGTCTGTTGTAAAAACCACATTTTTGATGCAGTTAAAAAACATTTTTTCTCCTTACTTTAATGAATCAAGTAATAAACAGTTATGTGGACTTAAAGAAGAGGCTTTAAGCTTTAATTTAACATACAAATTATTTATTAATTTCTATAAATAAAGTAGATATGATATTTTAAATTTTGTACTTTTATAAATGTTTTGTAGAAATAACACATTTCTAAGTTTTGTTAAAAAAATTCTTTCGTCCTGAATTTTATGGATCAACTCATAAACCATTATATTATGGTCTAAAAGCAGATACTTTAAATTTTAATTTGATATAAAAATCGTTTGTTAACTCTTGTAAATAAGGTAGATATGATTTATTAAAGTTACTGTTATTTTTTAAAGTGTCTGTTGTAAAAACCACATTTTTGATGCAGTTAAAAAACATTTTTTCTCCTTACATTTATGAATCAACTAATAAACAGTTATGTGGACTTAAAGAAGAGGCTTTAAGCTTTAATTTAATATACAAATTGTTTATTAATTTCTATAAATAAAATAGATATGATATTTTAAATTTTGTACTTTTATAAATGTTTTGTAAAAATAACACATTTCTAAGTTTTGTTAAAAAAATTCTTTCGTCCTGGATTTTATGGATCAACTCTTAAACCATTATATGGTCTGAAAGTAGATACTTTAAACTTTAATTTGATATAAAAATCGTTTGTTAACTCTTGTAAATAAGGTAGATATGATTTATTAAAGTTACTGTTATTTTTGAAAGTGTCTGTTGTAAAACCACATTTTTGATGCAGTTAAAAAACATTTTTGTTCCTTACATTTATGAATCAACTAATAAACAGTTATGTGGACTTCAAGAAGAGGCTTTAAGCTTTAATTTAACATACAGATCGTTTATTAATTCCTATAAATAAAGTAGATATGATATTTTAAATTTTGTACTTTTATAAATGTTTTGTAAAAGTAGCACTTTTTTAAGTTTTGTTAAAAAAATTCGTTCGTCCTGAATTTTATGGATCAACTCATAAACCATTATATGACCTCAAAGAAGATACTTTAAACTTTAATTTGATATAAAAATCGTTTGTTAACTCTTGTAAATAAGGTAGGTATGATTTATTACAGTTATGGTTATTTTTTAAAATGTCTGTCGTAACAACCACATTTTTGATGTAGTTAAAAAACATTTTTTTTTCTTACATTTATGAATCAACTAATAAACAGTTATGTGGACTTAAAGAAGAGGCTTTAAGCTTTAATTTAACATACAAATTATTTATTAATTTCTATAAATAAAGTAGATATGATATTTTAAATTTTGTACTTTTATAAATGTTTTGTAGAAATAACACATTTCTAAGTTTTGTTAAAAAAATTCTTTCGTCCTGAATTTTATGGATCAACTCATAAACCATTATATGGTCTGAAAGTAGATACTTTAAACTTTAATTTGATATAAAAATCGTTTGTTAACTCTTGCAAATAAGGTAGATATGATTCATTAAAGTTATGGTTATTTATTAAAATGTCTGTTGTAAAAACTACATTTTTGATGCAGTTAAACAACATTTTTTCTCCTTACATTTATGAATCAACTAATAAACAGTTATGTGGTCTTAAAGAAGAGACTTTAAGCTTTAATTTAATATACAAATTGTTTATTAATTTCTATAAATAAAATAGATATGATATTTTAAATTTTGTACTTTTAAAAATGTTTTGTAAAGATAACACATTTCTAAGTTTTGTTAAAAAAATTTTTTCGTCCTGAATTTTATTGATCAACTCATAAACCATTATATGGTCTGAAAGCAGATACTTTAAACTTTAATTTGATATAAAAATCGTTTGTTAACTCTTATAAATAAGGTAAATATGATTCATTAAAGTTATGGTTATTTTTTAAAATATCTGTTGTAAAAACCACATTTTTGATTGAGTTAAAAAGCTTTTATTCGCCAAACTTTTTTTAATAAACTAATAAGCCATTATATGGTCTTAAAGAGGATACTTTAAGCTTTTATTTAACATAAATCACGTTAATTAATTCCCATAAACAAAGTTAGTACAATTGCTTAATTTTGCATCTTTAAAAATATCATCTATAACAACCTATTTTTGCTTGCTTAAAATCTCTTTGTGTTTCATTTCAAGAAAATGACTTAAATTAATTGTAACCTTCAATGCTATCATTAATTTATTTTTTATACCCATCCAATTAAAACCTATAAATATACTTTTATTAACAACAACTTTGATTGCCTGTGTTACTTCCTGTGTTAAAGATAAAACCACTCAATTGGAATGGTATGAAAAGTACAACATATGATTAAGTGTCTTCGATGGTTCTAATGATCGTTAATAGGAGAGGTAATTATAACGTTATTTAAACATTTGCAGCATAAAGTAGTGGAGTTAGCTTAATCAAGATTTAATTGAATCCCTCCGCGACATTTCTCACACATACTAAGACGATGACGATGGTGAGAACCCATTGTTATTCAACGAATACGTTTTTCGTTGTGTAACAATAATATTATTATTACCCAGAAAGTAAATTACGTTTCTTCCGAGGCCTTTCTCAAAATGCTATCGCTGTTATTATATCGTTATGAGGTGTTGCGAAATAATACGAAATGTTTTACAAAAAAAGTTTAATCAATTTATTATAAGATAAGTATAAAATTAAAACTATATACACATCATTTTTTATATCTTTATGACTATTTCCATCATTATCATCAGATCATCATCAGATTTTCTTTGTTTTCTTCATTTTTTAGTAATCTTAGTATCTGTAGCCTCCATTACCTGCTCCACCACCTCCTCCAGCGCCACCGTGACCACCGGCACCAGCTCCTCCTTGATATCCTCCGGCTCCTCCACCACTTTGGAATCCGCTACCGCCACCACCTTGATAACCTCCAGCTCCTCCTTGATATCCACCACTTCCACCAGCTCCTCCTTGATAACCTCCACCACCTTGGTAACCACCACCTGCACCACCATCTCCACGATATTGACCATCATCGACGACTCCGCGTGCTTCATCAGCTAAATTTTGTTCGATGGATCTTTGAATTTCATCCGGAATTGGTGGAGGAGTCGGGAGGTGAGCACCTTGAGGTTGGAAACCGTTTTCGTCGGCTGTGTAGGTGATTGAGTATTGTCCACCATCTGGTGAGGTGTATGAGAATGATCCTTCCGCAAAACCGTTATCGGGACCTTTTTGGTAACCTTGTTCTTGAGCTTGAATTCCATTTCCGGTTTCGTAAACGTAGTTATAAGAACCATCTCCTTGATTGGGGCTGTTGTCGTATCTGATGATGGGGATTTGGGGACCTCCACCACCGCCTCCTTGGTAACCGCCGGCTCCACCACCACCACCACCTTGATATCTTTAAATAAAATTATTTTAAACGAATCATATTTAAGGAGAAATTTGAAAATAAATTAATACCCTCCAGCTCCTCCACTTCCACCACCTCCTTGATATCCACCAGCTCCCCCACTTCCTCCTCCACCACCACCTTGGTATCCACCAGCTCCTCCTCCTCCTCCTCCTCCTTGATATTGTCCAGGACCTCCTCCAAATCCACCAGCTCCAGGTCTAGGGCCGGGTCGAGGTCCAGGTCCTGGGAAAGCTCCACCACCACCTCCTCCACCACGTCCAGGTGGAAGATATTTACTATCAAGTCTGGCACATGTCGCCAAACTCACAAGAGCCAGCGCTAAAATAATCTGTAAAAAATGAATTAATTTTTAAGATAAATTGAGAAAATATATCTTTTGTAATGAGATTATTTTGCTTACCTGTTTCATTTTTGGTGAAGTGCGAACGGGTAAGTGATGATGGGTAGGTGATGAGCCGTCGGTTTTATATGGGGGCCTCCCTACCCGAAATCCAAAGTGAATCCGTGTGTTCTGCATAGAACGTTGGTTGAATTGAGGCGCAAGGTCGTGAACAGCCGAAGCAGCAAAAGAAGAAGAAGAGCGCTGGTTATGTCGGCGATGTTGCGAAATAGGTTAATACGAGAGCACCGTCGGGTTACCGCCGCGTTTTCTAAGTGTTCGAATAAAGATGCTACTCAAGCCTCGGGCCGTCTCTCTTGCAATTTTTGATTATTAACCATATAGTTCACACTCATATTTAAAAGTAAAAATTATAAAAATATATTTAGTTGTTTTAAATTTATCTTAAAAAATAAATCAAAGTAAGTACATACAACCGGAAATAACTTTTAAAGCAAAAGAAGAATATTTCAGTAGAAAATTCTCGCATCTAAAAGTTGACTAATATTTGTGTTATTAACTTGAAATTAAAAAATTTCATAAATATATGCAATTTATTAATATAAATGTAATTATCTTCATTAACAGTTGTAAAACATATGCTAATTATACAAATTTAGCATTTAAATTTGCATAAGTTTCTAAATATTTCATGATAAGTTAGAAAACATGATGTTAATTGAAACAAGAAACAAACAAATAATATGATATTAATTTCTAAATCTATATTTCTGATAAAATGACTGAGTTATTAGCACAACTATTACATTAAATCACGATAAAATTTGCTTTAAAATGTTCTGCGTTTCATTACGATGTCTCAATCTGTTTTTGAGATACGATTATTTTAATTTCTTTCTTTAAATTATTGATGAAAACACAGAGTTGAGTTTAAAAAATCGTAAGAACGAGATTTGTGAAAACTAAGAAATCATTTATGACATATTTAATCTTTATTAATTTAGCTTTAAAATACTTCTTATTTCATTGTTATATCTCAATCCGTTATTGAGATACGATTTATTAAACTTCCATTATCAAAATCTGTAACGACCAAACATAAAGTAGTACAAAATTGATAGCAACAATATTTATGGAAAATAAGAAATAATTTTTAAGTATTTATAATTTGCTTTAAAATGTTTTTCATTTCATCATAATATCTCAATTCGTTCTTGAGATATCATGTTTAACGTTAAATTTCTATTCTTTAAATCTACATCAATCAAATAAACAGAGTTGTGTTTAAAAAATAATTGTTTAATCTCAATTAAACAATATTTTCTATTCAATTTTTCTTTTTATTTTTTACTTTTTTTAATAAAGTCAGTACCCAAATTAACAAGCGTTGCTGACCAAAGCCATCGCTAATTGTGTAATGCACACCGCGCACAATTATGCGACCTAAATTAATTACTTTAAAATACTTGATTATTGTTATGTTAAAACAATAAGAGAAATATAATATATAATATTAGCATGTAAGAATTCGTATATAAACCCAAAATTTGTATTAATAAAACAGTGTTATTGATATCTTCGTAATGCTCGTTTCATTCCTGGATTAAACGTCTGACGTACCCGGAGTTTAATCCATTCCAAAATAAATATCTGGCTTGCCCGGAGTTTATTTTCTCCCAAACTCTTTTCAAATATCTGGCCTGCCCGGAGTTTAAACAATAATCATAGCCAGGGTTGTGGAAGCTAAGACGTTATTTATGGCACACATTATCTTCATTAAATTTGCTTTAAATTGCTTTTATTTTCATCGTTATATCTCAATTCGTTCTTGAGATACGATTTTTTAAAGTAGTTATTTTTAAACTATAACTAACAACGCAGAGTTGTGGTTAAAAAACCATAATAACCGGGTTAACAAAAAAACAAGAATTTATTTTTGGATCAATAAATATTGATTAAATTTGCTTTAAAATGTTCTTTATTTCATCGTGATATCTCAATTCGTTCTTGAGATACGATATTTTAAATTTCTATTCTTTACATCTGTATTAATCAAATATGCAGAGTTGAGTTTAAAAAATAATCATCACCAGTTTTATAGTAGCAAAGAAGTTATTTGTGGCACATTTAATCTTCATTAAATTTACTTCAAAATGCTTTTAATTTTATCGCTGTATCTCAATTCGTTCGAGAGATACGATTTTTTGCATTTCTATTGCCAAAATATAACAACTATGCAGAGTTGGGGTTAAAAAATCATAATATCCAGATTAATAGAAAATACGAAATTATTTTTAGAGCATTAAATATTGACTAAATTTACTTTAAAATGTTCCTTATTTCATCATAATATCTCAATTAGTTCTTGAGATACGATGTTTTAAATTTCTGTTTTTCAAAGCTATATCAATCAAAAGTGTAGAGTTGTGTTTAAAAAGTTATCATAGCCAGGTTTATGGACGCAAAGAATTTATTTATGGCACATTTAATCTTCATTAACTTCGCTTTAAATTGCTTCTAATTCCATCGTTATATCTCAGCTCGTTCTCGAGATACGACTTTTTAAATTTTGATTTCTATAGTAAAAGTAATAGCGAAGAGTTGGAGCTAAAAAGTCATAAAAAGCAGATTTATAGAAAACATGAAATTGTTTTTGGATCATTAAATATTGACTAAATTTGCTTTTAAATGTTCCTTATTTCATCATAATATCTTAATTCGTTCTTGAGATACGATGTTTTTAATTTCTATTCTTCAAATCTATATCAATCAAATGTGTAGAGTTATGTTTAAAAAGTAATCATAGCCAGGTTTATGGACGCAAAGAATTTATTTATAGCACATTTAATCTTCATTAACTTTGCTTTAAATTGCTTTGAATTTCATCGTTATATCTCAACTCGTTCTCGAGATACGACTTTTTAAATTTTTATTTCTATAGTAAAAGTAATAGCGTAGAGTTGGAGTTAAGAAGTCATAAAAAGGAGATTTATAGAAAACATGAAATTGTTTTTGGAGCAGTAAATATTGACTAAATTTGCTTTAAAATGTTCCTTATTTCATCATAATATCTCAATTCGTTCTTGAGATACGATGTTTTTAATTTCTATTCTTCAAATCTATATCAATCAAATGTGTAGAGTTGTGTTTAAAAAGTAATTATAGCCAGGTTTATGGACGCAAAGAATTTATTTATGGCACATTTAATCTTCATTAACTTCGCTTTAAATTGCTTCTAATTTCATCATTATGTCTCAGCTCGTTCTCTAGATACAACTTTTTAAATTTTTATTTCTATAGTAAAAGTAATAGCGAAGAGTGGGTTCTAAAAAGTCATAAAAACCAGATTTATAGAAAACATGAAATTGTTTTTGGAGCATTAAATATTGACTAAATTTGCTTTAAAATGTTCCTTATTTCATCATAATATCTCAATTCGTTCTTGAGATACGATGTTTTTAATTTCTATTCTTCAAATCTATATCAATCAAATGTGTAGAGTTGTGTTTAAAAAGTAATCATAGCCAGGTTTATGGACGCAAAGAATTTATTTATGGCGCATTTAATCTTCATTAACTTCGCTTTAAATTGCTTCTAATTCCATTGTTATATCTCAGCTCGTTCTCGAGATACGACTTTTTAAATTTTGATTTCTATAGTAAAAGTAACAGTGTAGAGTTGGAGCTAAAAAATCATAAAAAACAGATTTATAGAAAATATGAAATTGTTTTTGGAGCATGAAATATTGACTAGATCCGCTTCAAAATGTTCTTTATTTCATCATGATATCTCAATTCGTTCTTAAGATACAACTTTTTTAAATTTCTATTTTTCAAATCTACATCAAATAAATATGTAGAGTTGGGTTTAAAAAATAATCATAACCAGGTTTATGGTAGCAAAGAAGTTATTTATGTCACATTTAATCTTCATTAAATTTGCTTGAAAACGCCTTTAATTTTATCGTTATATCTCAATTCGATATTGAGATACGATTTTTTGAATTATAATTATTGTTAAAATGTAATAACTATGCAGAGTTGGGGCTAAAAAATCATAACAACCTAACTTATAAAAAGTAACAAATTATTTTTGTATCATTAAATATTGACTAAATTTGCTTCAAAACGTTCTTTATTTCCTCGTAATATCCCAATTCGTTCTTGAGATACGATGATTTTAATTTATATTCTTCAAATCTATATCAATCAAACGTGTATATAAGTTGTGTTTAAAAAGTCGAGGTTTTACTATATTTCGAAATAAAGTCATTACTATAATTTCTTATCATATACACCTTGTTAAAATATAACCTACAGCATGATATTGCACATATTATAATGTCAGTAAAATTTATTTCAAAATTATCAATATTTCATTTCAGCTTGATTACGCATTAGAAAGGAACTCGATTCAAATAAAGAAAATCGATTAGATTTAATGATCTTACGCTTGTTTTAATGAAAAACGATTTAATAACGAGTTTGCATTACCCGAAAACTGTCAACGAAAATAGATTAATGTGATACGTGTGACATTTTCAGTGAGGAGTTCCTGTAATAACCGTTATTTAAAGTTATTTTATTGTTGGCGTTGTTCGAACGCGATCGAAAATTGGTCGGATACCTCGTACACACATACATTTGAGGTGTCTCGTAAATGGTATTTATACTATATACACGAGTAATCACGATGATGCATCACGAAAATGGGCATTATGTAACATAAACAAGCATCGATGTCGAATAAATACACAAAACGGCTCTTAAATCAAACTGAAAATATTAAACTTGTAATCGAAGTTCTTCTTTTTGTTTCAAGTCGAGTTCAAAGTTCAATAAAGGTGAAACAAACGATAATTAATAATTGAGGAACTCACGGTTAAAATAGGTTAACTTATTTATTGGATAATTATTAAGCCTAAAATTAAATGAGTGAATTAAATTTCGTAATATGTATTGTTTGGGAATTGATTCAAAAATTTTTAATGGCTTTTATACCTAAAACGTATAAAACGCTTTTAGCAATTAATATGTTAAATCGACTCTCATAAATAAAGAAATAATTCAAAAATGTGTTAAAAAATTGTACGAATTAATTATAACACTCGATTTAAT